TCCTCTTCTCTCCACCTGTACCTCAGGTGGGGACCCCATTGGTCCAAGGGCTGAACGCAATTCCAGAGCAGCTCTGGGGGGCCACATTCCAGTGGTGGCCACATGGCCTCATATTACACCGGTCTTCTATCAGCTCCCCATTGAAGTCTGGGCCCAATTTAAGGTGCTGGTATTGACCTATAAAGCCCTGAACAGCTTGGGACCAGGATACCTGAAGGAGCGGCTTCTTCCCTATGTGCCAGCCCGCCCCTTGAGATCCGTAGCAGAGGCCCTGCTCCGGGAATCCTCCCTGGAGGGGGGGGTTGCAGAGAGAACACTGGGGGCAGGGCCTCCTCTGGGGTGGCTCCCCGGCACTGGAATGCCTGGTGCTGCCATTACATGCTTTTCAGCACCAGGTCAAGACCTTTTTATTTACCCAATATTTTAAAGTTTAAATATTTTAATTATGTTTTTATCCTCAGGCGTGTGTAATTCTGATGTATTTATTAGGTGTTTTATATCGTAAGCCATCCAGAGACGGACCGTAATGGACAGGATAGAAATACCCTGATAAATAAAATTTAAAAATGCCCATTTCACAGCTGTGTGTATTAAGGACTGATACCCGCTGGATGCCATCACTGGCCGCCTGGGAATTTCCCCTCCGCCTGCTAGCGGGCCACGCCTCCATCTGTCTCCTGCTCCGCTGGACAACTCCGTACTTTCCTCCGCACCACCAACCTCCCTCCTCCGAGGCCATGGAGATGCCGGGCCGTGCAGGACCTTCCACATACAGGAACTTTGCCCTCGGTCCCTTGGAAACCAAACCAACGGAGGGGAACTGCAGTCATTGCCAAGCACAAGAGGCACCAACAGAGGCAAGCGGGAGGCTGTGGCGAGAGTGGGAAACCGCTGGCTGACTGGTATTTGGACGCAATCACCTTATTTGTCCATTGGTACCTTTCGGCTTCCATCCTCCCAGGCTTTCCTCTCTTAAAATTTTATTCGCAAGTTCCTTGCAGCGCAGAACTAGCTTGCTTGATAGTTCGCTTTGTAGAACGGCACGTGCAAGGCTGATGCATTGAGTCATTTTGCATTATTGTTAACATCCGTGTCCACAGTTCATTCCAGAAATCTTAAGCCATTCTCGTTACAGATTAACTTGCTCAGTTAAATCTGCATAATAATAAAACCAGTCTTTCCCTTTCTCTGAAGAGTATAAATATTCCATTTTATTTTTTGTGCTTTATACATTTATAAATCACCTTTCAAAATACCAGTTCTCCTAAGATGGCATACAAAAGGCCTGTATTGACATCAGAATTACACTGAGCCGAATGTATGATGTTTCGCTGTCAAATTAATCTCCAGTCCGTGCTTTCCATATTTTCTTGTTAAGCAAATGCACCCATATTTGCCTATTTTAAATATGCTTGTGCCCTGCTTTGGCTTCTCATGGGAAACAGCTAAGCAGCCAGGGTGGCGTCGTGGTGAAGAGCATGGGCCTGGGACTCAGAGGACCCGGGTTCGAGTCCCCGCTCAGCCATGGAGCCAACTGGGCGACTTTGGGCCAGTCACAGACTCTCAGCCCAACCTGCCTCCCAGGGCTGTTGTTGTGGGGATAAGATGGAGGAGGAGAATGATGTCAGCTGCCTTGAGCCCTTTGCAGGAAAAAGGCAGGATATAAATCAGAAAATAAATTTAAAAAGTAAAAATAGAGCAATGAGCCCTGGACCAGCTGGGGATGCCCCTCCGACCCATCCCCAACTTTGGGGGAGGCACATGCTGCCCCCATGTGCTCTGTTGCGCTTTCCCGCTGGAGAGAAAGCATGCGCAGCCAACCGAATTTTGTACCAGGAGTCCCAAACTCTGAAGACACAGGCACAAAACCACAGAATAAATGGGGGAGAAGGGCCCCATTCCACATTTCTTCCTCGAACAGGGCCTTGAACCTAGGGACCGACTTCCAGGAAAACACACACAAACTTGTGCTTCTCGGCACTTCGAGGTGTTGTTCTCTCGTTCAGTGACCTCTGCCCAAAAGATGGAACTCGCTGGGGAGGCAGGTACTCCAGTGCAGGCGTGTTTTCTAAGCCAAAGAGGGAAGTTCAGTGAAAAGTTTCCTCTTTTCTTCTCCCCCGAGAATCCACGGTTGCTTGTGCTGCAGAATTATGGTTCAACCCCACCCCCCCTGCCCCCACCCCACCCACCAGCTGGACCCACGGTTTAAACACCAGCTCAATTGCTGTACGAACAGGGCGACACCTCCAAGAAATCGCAGAGGTTTGACCTTGTGTGGGAAGGGCAGTGAAGAGAGGCGGAAGTTACTTGTCCGGAGTGGGTGCAGTTCAGACCTTTGCCTGTTCCAGGAAACCCCCAAAATCCACCCCAAACCGAGCCTGATGCAGGCCTGCTGGGCTTCGTTGTTTCCCAAAGGTCTGGAGCGTTGCTTTGCCATTCTCCACCTCAGCACAGACACGACGGGGGCCCTCTCCTGATGAATTATCGGATACACTGCCCAAGCGCATTTGAATCCGGCAGCACAATTCCCCTCTTCACACGTGCACCAGTGCACAGGCCCAGGTGTGATGAGCTGGAAGAAGGTCCTCCACTTGCCCGCGTGCCCCCCCACGAGAACCAGTGGCTGACAGGAATGATCGGAGCTGCCTGCCAGTTTGGATTGTCCTAGAATTCTAGACTTGGAGGGGTCGGTGGGGGCCCTCGAGGCCCCCACCGCTCAGAAATCTGGTGGAATGCAGCCCCGAGAGATGGCTCTCCAGGCTCTTCAATGGAGACCCCCCCCCCCCCCGGAAAGACCGCCCCCTTGTGGGAGCCAGAAATTCTCCCCGTTAAAGCAAGGTCTTCCTCCGAGGCAGTGGTTTTCAATCCCCGGTCCGTGGACCAGGGCCAGTCTGTGGATTTCCTGCCAGCTGTGGGGCAGGGGAAGTGCATCCTGCTTGCCACAGACTCACGCAGGAGCTGGCTGTGTTCCACCACCTCTTCCTCGGTCGGCCTCGCGTTCGCGTTCGGTGCACCGGTGCCATGGAGGGGGGCAGGGAGGGGAGAGACGGCTCAGTGGGAGCTGGCTGGGAGCCACGCCGCTCCGATTTTGGCATTTCGATCTTTTGTTGACCTTTTTTGTTGCTCAGTTTCTGGTTGTTTTGCAGAATTTCATTTTTTGGTATTGCTTGCAAATGAACACATAGAATATTGAATTATGTGTATGGTGCTTTCTGTTTCTGCCTCAGCGGTTCCCAAGGTGGTTTTCCTGTTTTTGTCGGCCCCCAGCTGTGGAAAGGTTGAAAACCATGACTCTGATGAACACTTTTATTTCTGTTTTGTGGTCTTGGCTGGCAGAGGGCAGGTGGCAGCCCTCTTCAGGGTGACGACCCCAAGAGGTGCCTTGCCAGGTCAGAACTACAGTCCATTCTGTCCAGCATTCTGTCCACACGGTGCTGCCCAGCTGCCCACAGGTCCCACGGGCAGGAGCACGGGACCCCCTGTCCCCCCCGTAGCTCATGGACACAGGGATGCTGCCTGGACCTGGAGCTGGCAGGTAGTGCTACCCAAAACTTCTCCTCCCAAGGCGAAACACCCCAGGTTCCTTCAATCTCTCCGCATAGGATGAGGTTTCTAGTCCCGTTCATCTTTCTTGCGCTTCTTGAGCTCAGGTCAATGTATTGGAATCCTCCTTTATATTTATTTATTAGATTTATATCCTGCTTTTTTCTCTTTAAAGAACTCAAAGTGGCTTCCGTCATTCTGCGCCTGCCGCTCAGTCTTCTCTCCACCACAACAAGCGTGGAGGTCGGTCGAGCTGAGAGGCTGTGCCCGGCCCAAGCCCCCCAGCCGGCTCCATGGCTGAGCGGGGACGAGAACCCGGGTCGCCCGAATCGGAGTCCCGCCGCGCCCCGCACCATACCAGCTCCCAGGCCCCCTTCAAGCGCCCTGCCGGGAATGGGACACGGAATCCGAGGCAAAGCCCAGCCAGGGCGCAGCACGGGGGAGCCGCTGCTCCCGGAACTCCGCAGCCACGCTTCTCGGGCCGTTTTGCGCCCGCGCCCGCTTGCGAAGCGCCCAGGCCCTTGCCAGCTGCGCAACATGAGCGAGTCCCAGCCGGGGCCCCGAGGGCGCCAGGGCCTTGCAGAGGCGACCACAGCAGGGCCCGACCCGGGCAGCCCCGCAGGCAGCCCGTCCCGGCGCGGTTCCCGGGGGCGCGAGGCGGTGGTCCCGTCGCACGCTCGCCTCGCAGCGCGGCCAGTGCCCGCCGGTGGAAAGGCGGGCCGGCGGGACCCTCCGCAGCGCAGCCGGGGAAGCCGGCCCGCAGCGTCCGCTCCCCCCGCCCCTGCCCTCTCCCGGCGCCCGGGCAGGTCTGGGAGGCCACGCCGCCCTCGCTTCCCTTCGCGCCCTCGCGCTTCCCACCCTAGGTGCATCCGCGCAGCCCCTTGGCTGGCTGGCCCGCGCCCCTCCCTCCCCTCCAACCCGTCCATTGCCCGCAGGCGCCTCGCGGGCAGAGACCTGGCCGGGCCCGCCCCGCGCGCTTCCCCTCCCCGCGTCCCTCGCCCCCCACGCCCGCCCGCCTGCCCCTTCCAACGGCAGCCCAAAGCGTGCCCAGGCGGCCACCGAGGGGCGTCGGGGGCGGCGCGAGGGGGGGGGGCTCCGGCGGGGGGCGCGGCCTCGCGGCCGAAAGAGCCCCCCCTCACAAACCCTTGAAGGGAGTGTGGAGCCGGGGGCGGCGGGCGAGACTTCCGGGAGGGGGCGCGGCCGCGGGCAGCGGGCGGCCCTTGCGCCGCGTCTCGCCAGCTGAGCGCTCGCTGCTCGCCCAGTCGCTCGCTCGCTCGCTCGCGTGCTGGCTGGCTGGCTGGCTGCGTCCGTGCGCGGCGAGGGTCCGATCCAGCCGAGCGCGCGGGCGACGAGGCACCGGGGCGGGCGCCTGCTGCGCGGGGCGCGCCTGGGCAAGAGCGGCGTCTGCGCGGGGCAGGGACCTGCCGCTGCCGCGCGGTTTTGGATTGCGCGCCCGCAGGCATTCGCCGCGGACGAGCCGCGCCGAGCGGCCCCGACAGGCGGGAGCGGAGCAGCGCCGCGCCAGGAAGGAAGGGAGGAAGGAAGGAGACCGGTGCGGCCGGTGACGCCACCTGGGCAGGTGAGCCGCGTGAGCGCTTTGGAGTTCCCCAGGGCGAAGCGGGGCCCTTGGGTGGGCTTTAGCCCCGGTTCTGCTGCCCCCCAACACGCGTTCCTCCAAGAGCAACAGGTGGAGTCGTAAGGGAGGCCTCGAGCATCTGCTGAGCCCCGTTTTCGCGGGCCAGTGGTAATTTAGACGTAACCCCGGCACCTGCTCCGCAGCTCAACAGATTCCAAAGTGGTAAACAGTAAACTATTAAAGAGCAGATTAAAAAAGCGTGTTAAAATGTGCATTGTGGTGCCAGACTGGAAGTTGGAGACGTGGGTTCCATTCCTCACCTGGCCTTGATGCTCAGTGCGTGACCCTGACCCGGTCCTGGACTCTCAGCCTAGCCTCCCTCACAGGGTTGCTGTGAGGAGAAAGATGGAGGGCAGTGGAGCAAGGAAGCAGCCACGGAGGAGCAGAAATGAAGGGGTCAAATAAAATGGTCAGTGACTGGTGGCTTTGGAGCTCAGGCGCTGGACTTCCCTGGCGGGGAGTGAAGCCTCCAGCTTGCCGTGAGGCTCAGGACCTGCTCAGTCTCTTCCTTTCCTGGAGCTTTTCGGGAGAGATGGCCCTGCCAGAGCTGCTGCTGAAACATGTTGCCACAAGCAGGCGCAGGATCCTGACCATCCCGATGTGATTCAGGAGCCGTTTGGCAAGAGAGGCGAATAGCTGCGCTTTTCTTCCCAGTCTCCGTGTAAGCAAGCGGCCGTGCGGTGTGGTGTGTGTGTGGGTGCTTTTCACAACAGGTTTCTCGGGGTTGTGGCCTTCCTCTGCCCCGAGGACCCCTTGTCATCAGCAGCCGCTCTCTGGCCCGTCCTGCTTAGCAGGGCCTCTTTGATCAAGCTGGCTTTGTTGCAGAAAAGTTCCTCTCCGCACACCTGGACCAACACCAGAATTTGCAAGGGGCACGGAAGAAGGTGGTTTTTCTCTGCTTCCTCCTTGTGGTGCTATCAGTAAATTATGTCTCACATCTGCGCTATTCTGGGAGCGTGTGAAAGTGCCAGTGATGGTGCATTTCAGTGGAAGCACAAGGCGGTGGAAACATAGAAGCACAGTGAGTCAGAAGGGGTCTCCCAGGCCATCTAGTCTGACCCCTGACTCCATCCGGCTCCACTCATGGAATCCCCGCCATGTGGGTTGAGTGACATCACCAGTGGGGCCCCACCACCCTGGCCATCACTGCGTTACAGAATCCGCTTCCTGCTTGGCTCTGGAGACTTTCCACCGGTAGTGAATTTCTCATGGGAGGGCACTTGGCAAGCACCCAGCCTCTGCCGCACTGAGCTGTGGAGCTGCAGCATTTCCGCACACCAGCTGCACACCCGGCAGCCTTCTGCAGCCCCTTCTCTGTCAGAAGCAGCCCTTCGGCCCCTGCCTCTTTGCTCGCCGGTGTCCCAAGGGCGGCACATGGGCCCACCCTCAGTCGTGAAGGCTTTGCGCCAGGCCGCAATGGGGCAGCGCCGGACTCCTCCTGGGCACAGGGCTGGAACGAGTCGCACCGATTCGAGGACTAAGGCAAGCCCATGTGCTTAACCAGGGGTGTAGCACATGTCGCACCCATTTTAACGCGGACTTCCAGACCATTTCCAAAATCCCAAGTACTCTTAAATACCCAGCGGGCTTGGGACTGGTGTACATTAAGTTTGGCTTCCTCCCACATGTTGCTGCCCGGGGAACAAAATCTTCCTCCAAGGCTTTTCTTTTGGTCCCTTCTTGGGAAAGGCGATGTGTGGCCCCCTAAGACAGGACTTTTCCAGTGGTGGCACCCCTACAATAGAAACTTAGAAACAGAGCAAGTCAGAAGGGGTCTCCCGGGCCATCTAGTCTGACCCCCGGCTCCAGCTGACTTTGCTAACGACATGCCCACTATGTGCGTGTCCAGCCTGTCCTTGAACACCCGCACCAATGGGGCCTCAGCCACCTCCGTGGAAGCCCATTCCACACCCTCGGGGTCCTGACTGTCAGGAAGCGCTTCCTGGCATCCAAATGGAACCTTGGCTCCCTGAGCTTTGCTCCGTTGGAGCGCGTCTTGCCTTCCTCTGCAGGGGAGGACAGGTCTCTACCCTCCTCCGTGTGACATCCCCTCACATACCTGTGTGTCGCCAACAGGTCCCCTCTGAGTCTCCTCTTCTCCAGGCTGCACTTATGACACCTATTCCTGTACCCAAGTGCACTTCTCCAGTGTCGAGGCTTCCCTGGCACAGAAGGTGCCTCTCATGCCTTTTTGGAGCCAGGCAAACACATCCTATGTGCCCAGGCCATTTTGACCCTTTGTTTTGGTGCAACAGCTGGGATCTGCCCAAAATCATGCCAGATGGAGATATTCCGCTCTGATTCCCCTTCCTTTCTGTTTTCTGGTCCTTCCCAAACTGCACCAAGCTCCAGACTAATTTAATATTGGTGACATGCTTTGGGGACCCAAGAAACTTGCCTCGCACAGAGGGTGGCATCAGCCCTTCCAGCACCGACAGCATGAACGAACAGCAACCGGTCCCTGTGGTGGCAGGCGGGGATGTGTCCTGGCCTGACCTGGAGAAGTGTGAGGTTGCACCAGGGACCTTCTGCACACCTGTTGTGTTACGCCACTGGGCCATGGCCTCTGTGAGGGCGAGGAGATCCTGCAAAACACACACGGGGCCATGGCAGGTGCCATCAGAGAGGAAGAGTGGCAGGTGATGTCAGGGACTCTCCCTTAGGCTGGGAACCAGATTTTCTGGTCACAAGACGGGAAGTGTCTTGATACCCTAAAGGACTGTGAACCGTGGGATGGGGTGCAGGATCCCAGCCATCCCGATGCACGAGTCCCAGGAATCATGGAGCTGCCCATGGATTTAATTCTAATGGCACCCGAGACCCAGTGCGAGATGACAGTATTGCTGAACAGACGGGGAATACTGGCCACCGTCTGCATAGAATCATAGAATAGCAGCGGAGTTGGAAGGGGCCAAGAAGGCCATCGGGTCCGACCCCCTCCTCTTGCAGGACACCAAGTCACACCATCCCCCTCAGAGGGAGGTCCAGTTTCGTTTTGAATGTCTCCAGTGTGGGAGAGTCTTACCAAACTTGATTGATGTGTGACTAGAAAATTGCCAAAGAAATTGAAGTTTGACGATGAAACAGGAAACTTCTCGAGAAAGAGGGAACTGGTGTAAAGGAAGTTGGATGGGAAACTCAAGAGGGCAGATCTCCCTCGAGTCACGGGAGGTTACTCAGCCCACAATAACAGAAGCTCAGCTCAGACTCAAAACACCGGCCAGAAAAGCTGAGATGGAGTCCAGGAGGAGGTCAGTGGGACCGTTAATGAGCAGCATGGAGGAAGCCGTTAGAGGAAAGGGGTCTTCCGTCAGGCAGTGGGATTCATGCCCACATGAAGAGGACAGCAAGGGACAAAATGCAAGCAGACGTGGGCAGAACGGGCCTGTGGCCCCTAGACTGTGTCTCAACACCCACTGGATTGCTCCGCTTCCCAGCCCCGAGCTGGAGAATCACTCCAGCCCTTGAGCTGGCAGCCCACACCTGGACATGACCCCTCCCCTGCTGCAGCTGGCATGGGAGGAACGGGTCCTCCACGGGTCCTCCTCTGTGGCCACCCTGCCCCCCATCAGCTGCACATGGAGGCTGAACCACTCCGGTCTTTGAGCTGAGCACACCTCCTCTGTCAAAACGGGTGATGAATGTGTGAGTCCCGGGAAGGATGGAGCGGGGCCGCTTGGCCCACAAGAGGACAACCGCACGGCTTCTCGTACTCCAGCCGTTCGTTCACGCCGTGCTGAGCCCTTAATCGCTGTGGCTCTTGCGGAGCCGACCCTTGTCTCGCCAGCTTTTTACAGTTCCTTGAGAGTGTCAGCAAGCACGTGTGACTTCCGGCACACTTGACAGAATCCTGGAATAGCAGGGCGGAAGGGGCCAAAAGGCCGTCGGGTCCGATCCCCCATTCAGTGCGGGATTCCCAGTTAAACCATCCCTCCCAGATGGCTGTCCAGCTGCCTCCTAAGGCCTCCAGGGCAGGAGGGCCCACCACCGCCCCAAGCCATGGGTTCCATTGCCGTACCGCTGCAACAGTCCGGAAGTTGTTCCCGCCGTCCAGCTGGAACCTGGCTTCCTGTGACGTGAGCCTGATATTCTGTGTCCTGCACTCTGGGATGGTCAAGAAGAGATCCTGGCCCTCCTCTCTTTGATGACCCTTCAGGTACTTGCAGAATGCTCTGCTATCGCCCCTCCATTTTCTCAAGGTTAAAACAGGCCGGGCTCTTCCAATCCCTCCTCACAGGGCTCTGTTTCCAGTCCCTGGATCATCGTTGTTGCCTCCTCTGGACCCTTCCCAGCTTGTCTCCATTTTTCTTAAACAGTGGTGCCCAGAACTGGACATGGGACCCCCAAGGAGGCCCAACCAATGCTGAGTAAAGGGGAACTTGTACTTCATGGGATTTGGAGCAGATACTTTTATTAACGTAGCCTAAAACAGCACCTGCTTTTTTGCTGCTTCATCAGATCATGATTTGACAGCTAGAAGGGCGGACTTGGGGCTGCCAGAAAAGGGCTGTGGCAGTTCCTCTGGTCTCGTCTCCCCACAGCTGATGAGGAAATGTAGGAACCCGTTACAGGAGGAACTCGGAGTTCCTGCCCTGCAGTGCGGATTTAAAGGGTACAAACTGTGTGCCGTGAAGCGCAGACCTGCCGCTTGGCCCTGCGCTTCAGTTCAGTGCATTAGAGGCAGCCCTGGACGGTTTGCTGCAGTGAGCGGCTCTGGGGGCTGCTGCCCGCCTTCCTTGCAACAGTGCGGGGTGGGGTGGGGTGGGGGGCGGTCTGGGCTCCAGAACGCAGCTGCTTCCCGGCCAAGCAGTCCTTCAGCTGCCCTTGCGCCCTGGGGAGCGGCCTGGCAGGGGCCCCCCACAACCAGGCTGCTGCCTGCTCCGCTCACCTCCCACCCGGTTCCTGCTGGCTCCAGGTGTGCAACCCATCGTTTGTCTGGGGAT